AAACTCTGTGTAAAACTTCCAGCTGACCCACACGTCTAGCAGGGAATGTGGAGGGAAAATGAATTATACGCTTCAACCTAATTAACACAGTGAGGAGCGCAACCTGAGAAATCCAAGGTGAACCTCAAGGGTATCTTAATTGTCTGAAATGACTCTGAGTAAAAGCTTCATAAGTCTCTCTGTGACACTCTTGTCATTAGTGGATAACAGATTCTTTAGAAGACGTATCATTTCATAGCCCTGAGGTGATTTTGTTAGTGCCTGAACGTGTCCCTTGAGGATAGTAGGACATGTGGCTCTGCAGTCCAACACGTAGGTGATCAAAAGTTAAAGCTAAATGCATCACGCTGGCTGTGAGATTGGATCTCATCATGCAGTATATAGGCTGTCAAACCAGTGCAAGTCAGTAAAGACCAATACCGTTTATGTCCTTGGAGTCAGTGCACTGACAGTCTTTTATGTCTTAAATCCATTACAAAAACTTACTGGTACTTGATCATTGTAAATGGAGGCTAAAGACAACAGTGAGATTGCTACAGAGTAGATTTAAAATTATTCATTATTGTACTTAAAGGAACTGGTTGTCTAACGGAGCCTTGTACCAAAAGGGAGACACGAGGAACAAAAATAACACTTGTACACTTTAAGGGTCTGTGTTTGTATTTAACATCACTGTTATTTAGTCACAGCTGGAGAGGTGAGCCACAGTGTTAAAACCACAATGATTTTGTTGGATCATTTTGTTAAATTAACATCATACTGAGAAGCCAACAGTTCGTGCACAAACAAGGTCATTTACCACCTGCCTAAGCACTGTTGCAGATCAAGTGGTTAGTGGTTTCTTTCTTCCCTTGCTAACAGCAGCACACCACACTTCAAAAATTCCCCTTTCTTGTGTTTGTGCAGCACAGTGTTATCCTGCGGTCCCTCGATTTCAATCCGACCAAGCATTTGTGGGATTCACCAGAACAAGCTCGATCCAGAGAGACCGCTCCCCACAACAAAGGAAGCCAAAGGATCTACAGTGTTGTTCATATTCACTCATAACATAATCGTTTGCACCAAACTGACTGCTGTTCGCCATTCCCTGATGAGTGAAGGATATAAAAGCAAACTTCTTACCAGCGATATTGTAAGCACATAACAGTGTTCTCACCTGCCCAGTACTTTGATGATTAACGTGGCAGACAGGGCTCCAAAAAGGCCTCCAATAGAAAATATGGACACTGTGACGGACCAGAGGAGGGTCACCGTCTCCGCTGAAATAGGCTCCCCATATCTCTCAATCCATGTCTTATTGTAGAAAGCTTTAATGTACTGCAATACAAAAGGAACACAAAGAGATGTTTTAAATGTGTTATTCATATGGATAAATGGTGAAAACAAACAAAAAACATTGATATTTAAAAAGTTTAAATGTAAACCGAGAAACCCCCAACACATGTTTACTGAATATCATATGTATCATGAGTGTGTTTTTACATTTCCAATCTGACTTTATGACCTAAACTTTGCCTGAAGAAAAGGACTATCAGGAAATGATTGTTAAACGATATGATCTGAAAACATTTTGCTTTAATACCAGTAATAATATTGGTAAGATTTTATATCTGGTCTCCACAATATGCAAATAAATTAATTTCAGCAAGCTTAATGCAGGCATGTCATTAGCCCTGGGCGGCCCTGGATGTTTATTGAATAGCTCCAGATTTCATAAAAGAATTGTTTATTCTTTGCATCTGTATTCAGGTTTGTCACACGTGAAACACTCTTATCTCTCTCTGACCTACCTGCCCTAATGCGATCTAAAATGTGTTCATGTGTTCATATACATATGATTGATTGACTCCTTGTATCCAATAAAATGAATAAATGACGTGTAAAACACCTAATCAATCATCACATCAAAAGTTTGAGATTTGGATAGTTTGACTGGAGCATCACGATAGCATTCTTTTTACAGACAGTGTCTGACGTTTTGTATAACTTTACTTTAAAAAATAGCAAATAGCGTAATAGCAACAAACTGAGTGACTTCATTAAGAAGTTGAAGCACAGGCTACAATGAGTCAGTGAATGCGTCGCATTAAATTATTACGGCACTTGTATCAACCCACGAGAATTCTAAAGTGTCTTCATTGAGCGTGAAGACGTCGGTTGCATAGAAAGCAAAGGGCCTTGTAGTTTTTTGATCTTTCATTTAACAACTGCAACTGAATTCCTGTTAAACCAAAGCTGAAGCCCACCCTGTCTTCAGCACTGTCAGGAAGGGCAGTGGTCACACAGTCGCTGTCATTGCTTGCTTTGGCTTAGGAGCTACTCATTGTAAGCATCACGTATCACGAGCATGATTGCCAGCTTTGCTTAACTTAAGACTGAAAAATGACCTTTGATGTCACTTCAAATTTGCTGAAAACAATTCTATCACTAGGAAAGGGGGGGGGGGGTTACAGGTTACACCAGTTTCTACAGGGCTTTCATCACCCTTATCGCTACTTTTACTGAAGATCAGCCAAGTCACGTGCTATAGATAAATAATTACCAAAGATATTACTTCACATCATCATCACATCACTCCCTGCAAACATCCACCGACTTCAGTTATTCATGTGTTCAACAGTTATTTCTCACCAGCATCACAGCCACAAAACACAATCAATATTTTTATATTTTGTACCATGGCAACATCTGTTTGACACGGCTATATAATATTTTACGCTCACTGGTTTTCTATCAGAGTGAAGCCGTTCATGAGTCGATCTGTTGTTATGTTGTCTCAGTTAATGTCAAGCTGTCGTAAGAAATGTTTGCATAAATAATGATTAAGACTCCTTCATTTTTATAACAGGTGTTGTGTCGAGGGGAGATTAATGCCATGCCACTATCATGCACATTAATTCAAAGATGTTACTGGTGCACCCAGTTAACTCCAAGAAAATGTCTTTGTGAAGATTTCTTTAGAAGGGTAAATTTGATGTCTACAGAAAATGACGGTAGTTATACATTATTAATGAGTAAATTCCCATCATCTTGACATTGTCTGGAAGTGGAATGAAGAGTAGCAAATAGTTTTTTGCCCCTACTTTGATGCTTCTCTTCTAAGATGAGGTTTGTGGTTTACTTGCATATCTAATGTCTGATACCTCAATAGCTCGACCTATTAGAGTTCAATGGAAATGAATTTTTAACACTTCATATAATATTCCTTTGCCCACATTTGAAGATAGCTCGCTGCTGGGGGTGGCCCTGCTGTGCGTGGAGAAAGCTGAATGTTCATTTATAGGTTTTTGTGCAGCGTGTAGAAACGACTGTGGCTTTAGTGAACTATTAAAGAGATCGACTCGGTCTTTTTTGAAATGTAGTGAGAACTCTGTCTGTAATATTCCTTCTGTTGTGTTATCCTAATTCAACTCAACGTTTTTGTTGGTTTATTCTGTTCGGCTTTTGTAAAGACAGCAGGAGAAGTGGTGAGCCCTACTGAGGTGGAGGAGAGCCAGCGCTGCATAAATGATCAGCTGGTGCTTCTGGTGGGCAGATTCTATAAAGGGGAGTAAACAAAAAAGCAATGGCTCAACAACGACGTAAACTGGAGAATTAGCTGCAAAATACAGATTAAACAGTAGGTGGGACTTTTAAGTTTGCTAAGCCAAGCAGAAAACAAAATATCCAGGCAACAGATTTTGGGGTTGTGCAGAGTGGAACTGTGTGCAAAGAAGATCTGGAAGGTTAATTTTTGTTTGCTTGTTTTTTTTTAATTACTTCTCAATTTTCTTTTATTTATTTTTTGTTAAGTGCATTTTACACCCTACTAATTCCATGCAGTAATCAGTAGGTCGCTTGAAAATGAGAACCCGTGTCTCAGTGAGGTTCATTTGTATAAATAACGGTGAAATAAATTAAAAATATAAAATAAAATCATCACATTTCTGAACAAATTGTTAAAAAGGAAAGCCTTAATAGTATGTAGGCTGTGTTTTGTTGAGTTCTACCAAGTATAGAGAAGTGAACGATTTGAAAAATTAGGATTGAAGCCCTTAAGGTGCAAATAAAACCAGCCTGTTATAAAGTCTCACACAGCCTAAACCCAGGGTGAACATA